GATAAATCCCTCTTGGTCATGTTGAATGATCCTTTTAATGTGTTTTGAATTCAGTTTGCTGGTATTTTGCTGGGGATTTTTGAATCTATGTTCATCAGAGCTATTGGCCTGTGATTCTCTTTTCTTTAGTGTTCTTGTCTGGCTTTGGTATCAGTGTAATGCTGGCCTAGTAAAACAAGTTTGGAATTTTCAGTTTTTTGGAAGAGTTTGAGAAGGATTGGTATTAGTTCTCCTTTAACTGTTTGGTAGAATTTAGTCATTAAGCCATCGCATCTGGACTTTTCTTTGATGGGAGATTTTTGATTATTGATTCAATCTCCTTACTCGTTATTCATCTGTTCAGATTGACTATTTCTTCATAATACAGTCTTGGTAGGTTTATGTTTCTAGGAATTTATTCATTTTTTGTAATATACCCAATTTGTTGTCATATAATTGTTCCTAGTAGTCTTTTATCATCCTTTGTTTTTCTCTGGTATCAGTTGTAATGCCTCCTCTTTCATTTCATGCCATTTTCAACAGCAGCAAAAAAAAGTGCTTAGGAATAAATTTAATTAAAGAGGTGAGAGACCTGTATACTGAAAACTATAAAATGTTCATGAAAGAAATTGAAGAAGATACAAATAAATGTAAAGATATTCCATGTTCATGATTTGAAAGAATTAATATTGTTAAAATGTCTATACTATCCAAAGCAATCCCTATCAAAATTCCAATGATGTTTTTTGCAGAAATAGAAAATACACCCCTAAATTTGTACAGAACCACAAAAGGACTCAAATAGTCAAAGCAATCTTGAACAGGAAGTTCAAAACTTAAAATATTATTTGCATACACTACCTCTTCTCAAAATCTACTACAAAGCTATAGTAACCAAAACAGCATGATATACTGGCACAAAAACAGATAACTACATCAGTGGACAAAATAGAAAGCCGGTAAATAAATCCATGCATTTATGGTAAACTGATCTTCAAAAAAAGTGCCAAGAACACACATTAGAGAAAGGACAGTCTCTTTAATAAATGTTGTTGGAAAAACTGAATATCCATGTGCAGAAGAATGAAATTGGACCCTATCTCATCCCATGTGCAAAAATTAGCTCAAAATGGATTAAAGACTTGAAACTGTAAAACTACCAGAAGAAATATGGGAAAAACTTCTTGACGTTGGTCTGAGCAAAGATTTTTCTGGATATGACCCCAAAAGCACAGGCAACAAAAGCAAAAATAGACAGATGTGATTATATCAAGCTCTTCTGCACAGCAAAGACAGCTATCAGCAGAGTGCAGAGACAGTCTATTGAGTAGAAGAAAACTTTTGCAAACCCTAAATCTGATAAGGGGTTAATATCCAAAATATATAAGAAATTCAGATAACTTAATATCAAGGAAACAACCCAACTAAAAACTGGGCACAGGACCTGAAAAGATATTTCTTAAAAAAAGATATATAAATGGCCCATAGGTGTATAAAAAACTGTTCAACATCACTAATCATTAGAGAAATGCAAATTCAAACCACAATGTGGTATCACTTCACACCCATTAGGATGGCTGTCATCAAAAGATGAGCTAAGTGTGGACAAAGGTGTGGAGAAAAAGGGATCTTTGTACACTGTTGATGGGAATGTGAATTAATATAGCCATTATGGAAAACAGTATGGAGGTATCTCAAAAACTTAAGAATAGAAGTACCGTATGATCCAGCAATCCACTTCTGGGTATGTATCCAAAGAGAATGAAATCAGTATGTCGAAGAGATGTCTATACGCCTATGTTCATTGCAGCATTATTCACAATAGCCAAGATAAGGAAACAGCCTAAGTGTCTGTCAGCAGATGAATTGATAAAGAAAATATGGAATATATACACAAGGGACTATTATTCAGCCATTAAAAAAAGTAGAAATCTTGTCATTTGCAAGAACTTGGATAAACCTGGTGGACAATATGTTTGTTGAAATAATCAAGGCACAGAAAGACAAATACTGCATGATCTCACCTATGTGTGGAATCTAAAAAACTCTAAACTCAAAGAAACAGAGAGTAGAGTGACAGCAAGGACTGGGGGTTGGAGGTGGGGGAAGTTTGGAGAGATGTTGGTCAGAGGACACAAAATTTCAGTTAGGAGGAAATAAGTTCAAGAGATCTGTTGTATAACATGGCAACTAGAGTTAATAACAATGTATTATATACTTGAAAATTGCTAAGAGTAGATTTTAGATATTCTCACCACAAAAATGTTTGGTTTTGTAACATACTCTTGGCCCTTAGAAGCCCATTGTCACTGTGTTTAATGTTACTGAATTGTCTCTGTACTTGAAATTATCAGGCAGTTTTAAATTTTTGAGGATTGAGTAATAAAGTCACTACGGGTCCATATTACCTCACTTTTCACCATTTTTGTATCACTCTCTACTACCTGAAAACTTCATTCTATGCTACCTGGAATCACATGTCATGATTTGGCATTAAGTTAAGGATCAGGAACATCTATTAAGCATCTACCTTGTGAGGAGACTTGATGGTGAAAATCCCAAATTTCTTTTATTATTATTATTTTATATTATTTTTTATTACTCAAAATATTTTAACATTTATCTCAAACTTCTTAAGGCAGAAATTATAAGGCTACACAATACCAAAACTTTACATGTTAATACTGAAAGGGCATTATAAACATACTCACTTGGAAATGTTTTCCAGAACATAATTTCAGACTATTTAGAAATAAACAAATGAACAAAATAGAGCCCAGTGTTGCAGTTGTGGGATTTGGCCAAAGCCATGTGCTGAGGAAAATTTATAAACTTTAATGGATGTTTTTAAAAACAGAAAAGAGTAAACATAAATAAATTGAGCATTCAACTCAAAAAGCTTTTTTAAAAAGTCTAAAGATTAAGGAACTATTAAAAGCATAAAGTAATAGCATAGAATGTAATAGTTTTAACATTATTGATCAGCACCGCACTCTCCTGAGTGAGCCACAGGGCCGGCCCTAACATTATTGATGAATCTACTTTTTGATAAAGACCAATAGACTTTTAGCGAGTCCAAGCAAGAAAGAATAAAGGTGATACACATAACCTGTAGAATAAGAAAGGGGGTATCACTGCAAATAATGAATACTCATAAAAAAGGACTTGCAGTCAAGTTGATAGGATATGCACATGTACTTATATATCGCTCCTGTACTGCAGATGTATAGAAATGATAGATAAATATATGTAAATGCTTTTATAACATAATCTCTAAAGCAAGAGAAAAATGTGTTTAGGTGAGAAAGAAGAGGAAATAAAGTAATAATTGGGTTTGAATTCATGAGTGCTACAGAATTAAGAACCCGAAAGGATAATAGAGATAGGTTTCAAAAGCCAAGGAAAGAATTTCTAGCCCTGACACTAGACCTGAATTAAGGGTTATGGTCTTATACTGTGGTGAAGAAAGCAAAGTAGCTCATATAAGTTTAATTATTCTGTTCTGCTTATCTATCATTATAACAAACAACCCTGAAACTTTGTGGCTTAAAAGAACAATTCATTATTTCTCATGATTTTCTGAGTTAACTGGATGGTTCTTCTACTTTACATGATGTTAGGTGGGACACTGGAGAAGGTTAGAAAGCTTCTAGCCATTTAGTCTCATTCACATGGCTGGCAGTTGGTGCTAACTGCTGGTTAGGAGTGCAGCTGGGGCTTTTGGCCAAGGGCCTTGGTTCTCCTTCATTTGGATCTCCCCGTAGGCTATTTGACTTTTCCTCACATTATAGCTCCTGGGTTCTAAGAAAATGCATTCAAAGACAAAGGTAATCACTACAAGGCATCATATGACCTAGCCTCAGAGACCACACAGCATCATTTGTTACCACATTGTTTTTATCAAACAGGGCTTGCCTAGATCCAGCGGGAGGGGATATAAACTCCACCTCTTGTTTGTAGGGTGATTTAGTCATATTGCAAACAAGCATGTGGAATGGAAGATGTGAGGCATCTTAGAAATGTAATTTATCACAGTCTCCATTTGACTTACATTTTGTATTTTGACCAGTCTCATATTGCTAGAAATTTTAAAACAGTGATTCGAACCCAACTTAATCTGTTAAGGATTTCTTACCCTTCACCAATAGCCATTGCTGTGGGAGTTTTTCAGGAGAAAATAGGGAGTAAAAGGGAGGGAATAAGAGAAAGTGTGTGGCCTCTAAGATGTGAACAAGATTTTGAATGTTGAATTTGATTTGGATATGAAATGTGTAAGTGAAAGTTGTGACAGAGGAAGTATAAAAGTTCCAGATGATGAGGTAGGAAATTGCAGCGTATATAATGGAAAGGGCAAGTCATACAAATAGGATGATATGTAAAGTATATGAAGAGGTAAGGTGTGTACATTAGGGATGAAGGTAGGTGGTATGTTGGTGTCAGTTCATACAGAGCCTTGATTACCAAGCCATAGAATTTGGATATTTCTAGGAAAGGAGAGTTTCTGAAAGTTATGGAGGAAGTGTGTTATTAGCATGGGCTTTTAAAAAGATTCATCTCTTTAAAACACATAGAATGATTTGGGCAGTGGGGAATACTAATCTAAGCTGTTGGATAGATTACATTGATAGTATTCCAGAGAACATTAACAATGGACTGAATCAAAGTAATAGAAATGAGAATGAAGAAGTGATGGTTTTCAGAAAAAAAATGAAGTATTCAAATCAGGAAGAGATGGCAACTGATTAGATGTGTGGATCGTGGCGGAGGAAAGAGTTTAATAATATAAAACGCTGAATTTACCCTTCGCGTGTTTGAAAGTCATGATATCATGAAAGTCAACTCACTGATCACATTTGTACTCTTCCAGTTTTTGAAAATCTTCCCTAAAATTACTTAAATGAAGCTGTTATTTGATTACTGTCACATTTAACAGGTTTTCATTAATAAATCATGCAGAAATTACTTTTTGCCATTTCAGATTTTATACTCAATTTCTAAGCTACTTCTCTTTTCCCCATTAGGTAAATGGCACTGATGCAGATTATGAATATGAAGAAATCACACTTGAAAGGGTAAAAACTATTATCTTAATCTGTTGTTTTAAAGAACTTCTAAATATACTGCTCTTTCATATAGAACCCAAGAGAAATCTTTCAGAAACAGACTCATGTAATATTTTCTTTTGTAAGTTCATAGGTCATGAAATTAGCCATGTATTTTCAGAACATGATTTTTTTCTTTAGTAGCCTTTTTTTCTTTATATAAATTTTTAATTTTAAAATAGTCTTAAATTTACAGAAAAGTTGTAAAGATAGTACAGAGATCTCATTTACCCGGGACTCAGCTTCCCCTATTGTTAACATCTTATATTACTATGATACATCTGTTAAAACCAATGATCTAATACTGATAAATTTTTATTAATTGAAGTCTGTACTTTATGCAGATTTCCTTCATTTTCATGTTTTTCTCATCCCAGGTGCCATCTAGAATACCACATTACATTTAGTTGTTATTTCTCCTTAGGCTCCTCCAGACTGTGACACTTTCTCAGATTTGTCTTGTTTTTAAATTTTTATTGTTTATGTGCATATATTAAAATATTATTCATTTTAAATAAATATTTGGGATACCACTAACATGGTCATTGCATAAATTTTCTTTCCTAGAAAAATAATCAATTCTAATGGACAACACTCTATCAAAAGCTTACCATGTATGTCACCAGTCAGAAAATAAGGGTACAATTCAGATGTGTAAATTTTCTTAAGATATATTTTTTCCTTAAGAATATCTTCATTCAATTTATACTGTATTTTAGTAATGCCACTTTGTCTGGCCAGCATTTTTGGGAAATTAACTGTTCCACACAAGTAAATTTACTAAGTAACTCAACGTCTGTATATTTAATACTAAAATCTTAAATAATTAGATTTGTTTGTGTTTGAAGCCAGAATAGACTCTGAGACAGAAAGACCTGAGAGGGTCTTTTACATGTATAATAAATCTTTATTGCTTACTACTTAAAATTTGGGTCACCTCAAGTTAAGTGGCTGCTTAAATAACATTCAAGTAAGCAAAGTATTAATGTATTGTACATATGGTATTTTGTGACATGTTCTTTTTATTTTATTCATTTTTCATCTTTTCCCAGTACCTTTTAAATTCCTTTTATTTAGTCAGGACTATATACTGTATTTTTCACTGGTTGTAGAACTTGAGTACCTAAGTAACTCACAATCTGTTAGTACTATTACTGAGATTCTAGTAACTCTTGAAGAGTTTAGACTGAAAAAATGTTTTATTAAAACCAAATTTTAGGACAAATAGTGGTAGAGTGATTGTTTAAGCTATTTAATACTAAGAGTTAAGTAATAGGTCCAGATATATCCACTTACTTGAGTTGCCTGAAA